GGTCTCTTGGTTCATTTCCTGCCGTCATCGCAATAAAGGTTCACTTTTCTGTTAATCATTACTATTCCTCGTCATCATCTGCTTTTGGGTCCTGTTTCCGCACACATCGGCGCACCCCGCCGTGACAGAACGAACTGACCAGTCATGGACCCAGCGGATTCTGCTCTCACCGAGTGTCTGGAGGAGACTGCTCGGATCCAAGCGATCCTCGACCGCTTCTTTACAGCGCCCGATTTGAAGAGCAAGCTAGTAATGATCAACGCTGCTGAAGCTATTATGGAGAGGGATCCCCGCCTTCTCCAGCTCCCGGACTCACCTGCCATCGTTGATGCCTTTACGAGGATAAAGGAGATGCTGCAGGCCCAGGGACTGTCGAGTCAGGAAATGGCTTCCAGCACCCACCAGTCACAACAACCCCACAATCAGTCATCTCCATTGCTGCCTCCGGAACCTGAGTGTGTTCGTGTCGGTTCGCTGAGATTCGCCGCAGCGTCACCACCTCTCAGCTCACCAGTTTCCACGCCCTCATCACAGTCTCGCCATACTCCTGTCACAGTTCAGCGCGAGGAAGCGCCGCACACCATAGACTTGGACGACGACGAGCGCCAGTCTATATTCTGCGCTCTCTTGGAGGAGGAGCTCCGGTGGAAGCCGTGGCTCATTCCGGAGCACGAGCACTCTTTCCGGGGAACTCGACTGGCTCTCGGGGGACCTCGGAGTTACCAGGGACTTCCACCCATCGCTCCGCCGTCTTCCACTCCTAAGAAAAAGCGGCGTGCGCGCCACCGACGCTCCGTATCACAAACGCAAGTGAGTGATTACATTTTGGCTCCTCATGTTTTCTCTCAGGAAGTTGTTGAAATTGACACTACTTTTCCGGTTAATGAGCCCGGCTATACAGAGACTGTTTGCCCTGGAAAAGCTAGCCATCAGGCTCAGCTAAGCTGCTGTGGTACTGCTATCCAGGCCGGTCTGGAGCCAGAGACGGGGGTACAGCTGGTGCGGCCAATTTCAGTGTCAGCCGGAGGGCCCGGGGAGCCCGTCCGGCCTCATGCTTCGTCTGCTGGAGGTTCAGAAGAATCCAACCAGCTTCAGGCTTCGTTTGCTGGAGGTTCAGGAGAACCCAGCCAGCTTCATGTCTCGTCTGCTGGAGGTTCGGGAGAACCCAGCCAGCTTCATGTCTCGTCTGCTGGAGGTTCAGGAGAACCCAGCCAGCTTCATGCTTCGTCTGCTGGAGGTTCAGGAGAACCCAGCCAGCCTCATGTTTCGTTTGCTGGAGGTTCAGGAGAACCCAGCCAGCCTCATGCTTCGTCTGCTGGAGTTTCAGAAGAACCCAGCCAGCTTCATGCTTCATTTGCTGGAGGTTCAGGAGAATCCAGCCAGCTTCATGTCTCGTCTGCTGGAGGTTCGGGAGAACCCAGCCAGCTTCATGTCTTGTCTGCTGGAGGTTCGGGAGAACCCAGCCAGCTTCATGTTTCGTCTGCTGAAGGTTCAGGAGAACCACATCAGCCTCGCCATGTCCAGCCTCACGCCACGTCTGCTGGCGGGCCCGAGGAGCCCGTCCAGCCTCACGCCACGTCTGCTGGCGGGCCCGAGGAGCCCGTCCAGCCTCACGCCACGTCTGCTGGCGGGCCCGAGGAGCCCGTTCAGCCTCACGCTTCGTCAGCTGGAGGGCCTGAGGAGCCCGTCTGGCCACCTTCTGCTTCACCACCTGTGGCTGCCTCACTGTCACCTGGTTCTGCCTCTGCTACGCCAGGACCAGCTCCAGCCTGTGCTTCGTCAGCCGCAGCTCCAGCCTGTGCTTCGTCAGCCGCAGCTCCAGCCTGTGCTTCGTCAGCCGCAGCCTCAGAGTCTTCGTCCTCGCCTGGTCCGGCTTCAGCCTCAGAGTCTTCGTCCTCGCCTGGTCCGGCTTCAGCCTCAGAGTCTTCGTCCTCGCCTGGTCCGGCTTCTGCATCAGCTGCTCCTGCTCCACCTGGTCCGGCTTCTGCATCAGCTGCTCCTGCTCCACCTGGTCCGGCTCCGGCTTCAGCCTCAGAGTCTTCGGCCTCGCCCGGTCCGTCCTCGTCAGAGTCTTCGGCCTCGCCCGGTCCGTCCTCGTCAGAGTCTTCGGCCTCGCCCGGTCCGTCCTCGTCAGAGTCTTCAGCCATGCCCGGTCCGGCCTCTGCCTGTGCTTCTGCTACGCCCGGTCCGGCCTCTGCCTGTGCTTCTGCTACGCCCGGTCCGGCCTCAGCCTCTGCTTCTGCTACGCCCGGTCCGGCCTCAGCCTCTGCTTCTGCTACGCCCGGTCCGGCCTCAGCCTCTGCTTCTGCTACGCCCGGTCCGGCCTCAGCCTCTGCTTTAGCGTCACCTGGTCCTGTGCCCTCCAAGCCTCGGCCGGTACGCCTGACACTTGGGCGCCGCCGCCTTCCGCACGGCCGGCCACCTGAACTGTTTCTACGCCGTTGCCGTCCGCACGGTCGGCCGCCTGAACTGTTTCTACGCCGTTGCCGTCCGCACGGTCGGCCCCCTGAACGGTTTCCATGTCGCCACCATTGCCGTCCGCACGGACGGCCCCCGGAACTGTTCGACCATGGACTTCTGTGCCGTCGGCCTCCGGGCCGGCCCCCTGATCACATGAACTATGATTTTTCTGGACCGTCACCCTCCGGGTCGGCCCCCTGAGGAGTCATGAACTGTTCCCTGCGCTCCTGTGATTTTGATGGACGTTTTGTTTTTGGTTTTTTTTTTGGCCTTGTTTCTGGCCCTCCGTCCTGGACCCCCACCGCCCGCCCTTGGTGGGTTGTTTTTGGTTTTGTTTTTCGAGGTTTTAGGGCGTCTGGAATCCGCCCTTGAGGGGGGGGGGCTCTGTCACAGGCTGGGTCTCCGACCCAGCACTTTGAGCTTTCTTTGTATTGTTCTCATTTTTTGAGATGTTGTTAGTTTTGTGGTATTTCCTATTTGCCTTTAGTTTAGGCAGTTATTGTTCCTGGGTTTTCTGTTTGAGTTCTTGCATTATTCATCACGTATTTGGTATGTTAAGTTTGTATTGTCATGTCTAGTTTTAGTGTTTCCTGTTTTATTCTGACAGTGTCATGTGTTCTTTGGTCATTGTATTTAGTTTCACTCCTCCTGGTCCTGTCATTAGATTCATGTCAGTCAGCTGTTTCCTCATGTGTCGCCACTTCCCCTGATCACCTCATGTCTGTATTTAAGCCTTTTGTTTTCTTCATGCCATTGTCAGTTCGTCTGTTTATTCTCACCAGAGTCATAGCCTATTTATTTTTCCACCTCGGTCATAGTTATAGTTTTTGGTCTTAGTACCTTTAGTGTTTTGTCAGTTCAGTGTTTTGCTTCTTAGTGTTTTGCCTGTTTGCTTTGGTCTCTTGGTTCATTTCCTGCCGTCATCGCAATAAAGGTTCACTTTTCTGTTAATCATTACTATTCCTCGTCATCATCTGCTTTTGGGTCCTGTTTCCGCACACATCGGCGCACCCCGCCGTGACAGTATCTTCATCATTCAAACAAAAGATCAAATTCAGCTAATTAAAAGTTCTTTCCTCACATCAGTTGAAAGTAATTTTCTCAACCGAATCTCTCCTGGTTTCTTACCTGATGACTGAGGCCTGAAGGTACAAAGCTGCTCTTTGTTTTCTTCTGTTGTTACGCTACACTTAAAGTCAGAGTTAGATATGTGACTTGTGGAGCAGGGAAATTATTTTACTGCTATTGTTAAATAATCATCATTACCATTGCATTAATAATAGAATCTGCAGCATTGATATTGTATTCAGAGGTTTAAACAGTGTGTGTGTTTTAGAAAGAATAAGTTGCAGGCTGACAGGAAGTTGCAGAGAGTTTGCAGAAGGGAAAGCAGAAGTGAAAGCAGAGTCTAAGTTATTCTGAGCAGGTTAGACGAGGCTATTTGAATTACTAGGTTATTCAAATTGTCTGTTATACTTTTATATTCTTTTATTAAGCTCTTAGTAGAGGTTCTTGATTAAAACATTTATTCAACATAGTACATATAGTTTCAGTTAGGTTATTACACATAAGGATGAGCCTCTGGTCTGGTAAAAGGTCAGAAGTGCAACGGGTGAGATGAGAGGGCATGTAGGGTCAACACACACACACACACACATTAGTAGACTCATTTATAGGTGAGAAGTTGGTCATGTTTGTCTCTGGAACGAGGAACAGCGTCTGGCAGGATGTGGGGCTCGTGTTCCAGACGAGACGAAGACAACGTTCTTTTAAACTGTGTTAAAAGTCATTGTGATTTTGATTTGACGTATGTATATATCCTGTCTGTGACGTATGAAGGGGCGTCATTAATTCAGACCCTGATGCTATAAAAATCTGTGTATGCTTTGAGTAAGTCGAAGATCAAGTGCTGTCTGCGTACAGACTGGTCTTCCCACGCGTGTATTCATTAAAATCATTGTTTGACCAAGATCTTCTGGACCTGGTTGTTTGTACTCTCCTTCCTCAATGTTTGAACCTTAACAGACTGTATGATGACTTTATAAAAGTAACAGCAGCAGAGCAGGACGACTGTAATGTTTTTAAATTTGAGTAATCTCTATTCAGACCTCCACTGTCATGGATCCACTTCAGTTTGTGTTTACACCGTTCATATGTCCACACAGAGCAGTTTAAAGTCACTTGATCAGTGTTCTTCTGTTCAGTCACTGGTGAAGATTCGAAGAAAAAAGCAAACAAACAAACATTTAAAAAAAAAAATAAATGTAAGGTGTTAGCATATTGTTCAGACAGATAAACCACAGCATCTGGACCTTGCTGTTTCCCTGGATTGCCTCTAAACTGTCTGCAGGTGTAACGACCAACATCCTCAGCTGTGACCTTCTTTATAACCAGTGAGCATTCTGCTGTAACACTCAGTCTGTCTGATTTGGCCTTTTCTTTGATCTGTCCATGATTAACCAGCTCTACTGCTGGTGTGCTTCTTGATTCAATGAAGTGCTTCTTCAGAGCTTCATGTCTGGTTTATCAACCCTTCTTGCTTATGTGTGAACATTCTCACCAGTTCTTGTCCAGATGTTGATGACCACAACAGCTGCTATAAGTGCTGCTAAACCCAGAGGCACTATGATGAGCCTGTACCAGCATGAGCCTGGAGACAGAGCATGAAAAGCATGAAAATAATATTTTAAATGTCATTTTCTGATTGTTTTTGTTTTTTAATGTAGATGAATACAGAGGAAAAAAAACATGTATCTGAAATTAAAACATTTCATTCTAAAATATAGAAATATTGAAAAAAAAAAGCTGAATATTGTTGATTACCTTGTAATTTTGTTGAATCATCCATGATTTCCAGCTCTTTTGTTGTGTTTCCAGTTGTAGTTTCTGATTTTATTGTTGTTGCAGTATTTGATTTCTCACCTGAATAAAATTCAGTGGACCTTTCATTAGGAAACTAAATTCAGTCAATTACAGTTTTTTCTGAATGCTTAAACCCTAACTGTGATTCCTGTAGCACAATCTCTAAAACTATTCAGACTTATAGCAAAACCACTCACTGAGTTTGCAAAACTAAAAGCACAAAAACTGCTTTGCACTCAGTTTGCAATTTTGTAACACACACTTTGCAAAACTGTAGGCACAACTCACTGCACAAAACTCAATTACCAAATTTCCAACACACTCCTAGCAAAAGTATACACATGTATGGCTATCATTAACACTAATTTGCCAACTGTCTGGCACACTTTCACATGTGAAAACTTTTTTAGATAATTAGTTCACTTTGCAATCAGCCTAAGCACTATAATACAGGTAAGCTGTGTGTGCGGAGTACAATGGAGGGAGCAGAAAGAGTGAGAAGTAGAGGAGGCCGAGGAAGAGGACGTGGAGGTGAAGAAGTAGGATGAAGAGGACGACAAGGACAAGGAGGAGCAAGAGGAAGACGAGGAGGGGGGAGAGGAAGATGAGGAGAGGGGGAGAGGAAGGGTAGGAAGAGTAAGAAATAGAATTGCTGATGACATCAGAGCTACAATAGTGGACCATGTAATCAACCGTGGAATGACCCTGAGGGAAGCTGGCCAACGGGTCCAGCCTAACTCGAGCCGCTACACTGTAGCAAGTACCATAAGGACATCTTGAAATGAGAATCGGTTAGTACAGTCACTTCGCACAAAGATTTGTAGCACTGCCATATGCCAATGAGAAACACACCAATACCATTGATGTACAAATACTGAAATTGTTACTTTACAGAATTGCTAGATGACCAGATGCTGGGGGCAGAGGAAGCATGTTCACTGCAGACCAAGTAACCCATATAGTCATTATGGCGATTGCAAATAATCCTATACTTGGAAATAAACACTTGTGTTTGTTTTGATGTGTTTGAATAAACACCAGTACTTGAAGTTTGGATCCCTCTATGCTTATGGATCTATGACAGAAGTATGAGCTCAAACTGACATAGCCTACCTTGTGCACAGAGAAAGCAAAAGCCAGATGTGTTTTGTATTCATACCATCAGTGTGCAGTTGGTGCATTGTGTGCTTAGTAGATGATGGCTTGTGTGTACTGTTTGATACGGAAACACCATTTTTACGATGGTGTGAAGAGTTAATCTAGCTGTGTTTGCTTTTACAAGAGAACTACAATGTTTTGATTATTGGGTGACAGGTTTTCTTATTTGTGTGAAGAGTTTTGCAAAATTAGCCAATAGTTACAAAAAATGTGCTTAAGAAATCAGAAAAAACTGTAAAGCTTCAGATCAATAAAATGAGCGGATATTTTAGGTAATTAGTCAGATTAATGCAAAGTTATTTTGAAAGGTTCTTCAGAATCTCTCCTGGTTTCTGATGACTGAGTGCTGAAGGTAAAAAGCTGCTCTTTTTTTCCTTCTGTTGTTACGCTACAGTTAAAGTCATAAGTTGATATATGAGTGATGCATCATTCAGAAATGTCACAGTAGCAGAGCAGGAAGACTCCGATGTTTTTAAATTTGAGTAATCTCTATCCAGAGCTTCACTGATATGGATCCACTTCACTTTGTGTTTGCACCGTCCATATGTCCACACAGAGCAGTTTAAAGTCACCTCAACAGCTTTCTTGTGTTCAGTCACTGGTGAAGATGAAATTCAAGAGAAATACCAAATAAATATAAGTTTCCTTTTTTCAAAATTTAACTTGTCAGCATGTTGTTCTAACAGGATGGTTTGAGCTCAAAAATATAGTGTTGCAAATACTCACTGCTAACAACAGACAGATAAACCACAGCATCTGGACCTTGCGGTCTCCCTGGATTGCCTCTAAACTGTCTGCAGGTGTAACGACCAACATCCTCAGCTGTGACCTTCTTTATAACCAGTGAGCATTCTGCTGTAACACTCAGTCTGTCTGATTTCTGTTCTTTGATTTGTCCAAGATAAACCAGCTCTACTGCTGGTGTGCCTCTTGAATCAGTGAAGAGCCAGACAGTAGTGTCACAGTTGTGATGGTTGTTGATGAGAGTTTCACAAGGCAAAGTGACTTTATCTCCATCTCTGACAGTGAAGGAGAGTGGAAGATCTCCACTATTTACTCCTGAGAACATGACAGAATCAAAAATGTTAACACTACATTTTTCAAGAGTGCATCAAACTCAGTTTTCATTGTTCACAGAAACACCACAGCTTTGTGTGCTAAATAAAAATGATATTACTAAAATTAAAAAGAATAGTTTTCAAATCCTAAGATGATGTACAGTGTAAAAATCATCCTTACCTCCAAACTGAAGCATGAGTATAAAGAACAGAAACATTTCTATCCATCTAAATGTAACCATCATGTCTCTGTCTCTCCTTTCTTCTCAGGCTTCTAAAGCATAAGCGTGTCTTCTTCCTGTAGTTTTCGATCTATGACTTCCTCATTATGACTTTCAGCTTTCTTTCTCACATTTCTGCCATTATTCTTACACAACCAGACTGTCACAGCTTCCATGTTCCTCATTTATTAACAGCCAGTTGTTGTTAAAGTGACTCCTAAAATTCATCTCTTAGATAGTTAAGTAAGGTTTGGTTGTCCTGTCCACTTTACTTTATTTACTTCTGCAATATGAGAAACTGAATCATAATGCTCAGAGTTTACGCACACCGCCAAACCAAAAGGGCTCATATCAGACGCCACAGATACAATTGCAATGAGAAGCAGCACACACTTTGAAAACCATGTTTTTTCTTTTCCTTGTGTGGTGCAATAACAGTTTTCCTGCTGCGTCGAGCAGAGGGAGTAGCAGGAAATGCATCTTGAGTGGGTGAAACCCCTCTCTCTCATTTGTCCAATCGAAAAGTTTACAGAGACGAACAAATTTGCAGGATCATAAATCCCAAAGAGATGATTTTCACAAAGCACAGGGATTTAGAGGAGTGTTAATCACAGGATGTTTTCCATTGTGATTCTATATTGTTGAATACGGAATAATTAACTAATTCAGCTTTGAAACACACACTCAAACAGTTCTGCGATATAGATGTTTAAATGACTGCAAGCAGAAACAGCTGATGTAACATGTGACTTTTATTATGTCTGAGGATGTTAGATCATTTCTTCCACTGCTTCACATTTTGTTATAATGAATATACAGCACCCCCTTCTGGATAAAGGGATTGCTACAGTAATAAATTCTGAACTTTGTCAAACTGGAGACAATTTATGGATAAAACATAGTGCAACATTCTGTGTTAGAAATGTAAATGAGCAGTATAATATCCTTTTTGTTAAACATGGAGAACTTATGCCTAACAGAAACATTTTTACACAATCTGATACAAATAACAGGTTAAAAAGGGCCTGAGCGCAACCATAACCAGTGTAACGTAAGAAAGCTTGTATGAGCTGTAGCTGTTTCGTCAACACGTGTCTCTCACTGGTTTGTTAACGGCAGCATAGAGGCTGCTGGGATCACTGGAGGGTGCAGCAGAAGTAATGTGACTTTTCATGGTGATGTAGGTCACTGTGTCATCATCTTCATCATCATCTTGACCCACAACCTGAAAATGAATACACAAAAAACAAAATAATTAAGACCATAATAATGTAGGGTAAGGCAGATATGATAATAGTATTATAATCTTAATATTTATTCTTAACACTCAGATATCAACATTTACCTTGCTCTTTCATGGGAATTTTTATTGTTATTAACTGACATCACCTGAATAACCAACAGGACAGCTTACCTGAGCTTTACTGGTGGTGTTGTTAGTGTAGCTGATGGAGGAATAGGGAACAGCGTATTCAGATTCAGCCTGCACAGATACGACAACATAGAGACTGCTCAGTAATGCTTAGATTCAACATATGGGAGAACAAATACAAGTGGTGAGTAGGGATGGGTACCGGTGTCCGGTGCCATAAACGGTAGTAACCAGACCGAAAAGCAGCGCACATTTCGGTGCTTTATTTCGGTGCTTTTTTTTCCTGAGCTGTGATACACTTCTAGCCAATCATTTTACGTTTCCGAGGATAGTAGGCGGGCCCAGGTACGTACATTCTTTTAGAGCAGAGCTACAGATTAAAAATGCCCAAGGCGAAGCGGTCAAAAGTCTGGCTGTACTTCACAGCAAAATATGCAAACTCAGCAGCCTGCAACAAGTGCTTTAAGCTGATACTGTGATACTGTCAAAGGAGGTAACACCTCAAATCCGATGAAATACCTGGCGACGCATAGCGTTTTTTTTTTTAAAAGGCCAGAAATGCGCTGTATTTGATAGCTTGCTGCGAGACCTCACACCGAGCACATCTACTGCGGGTGTGGTGCCTGTTGTCAGACCCGGAGTTAGCAACATCCCCAAAAACACGAAGAGTAGAGTCCTGGCCCCTAGCACTGCCAGTGTAGCAGAAATGATGAGGATGATGATGGCAGCAGCAGCAGCCGTTCATCTCTGCGTGAGTAGCTTAATGTTGTTCGTGTGTAATTTATGTTGAGTAGGCTCACCACGTTATTACATTAATGCATGTAAGGTGAACTAGCAAACACCATCGTAGCTACATGCGGCTGTCTTCTTGTTTGATGGCAGATACTCCCTTCACTCTGGCCAAAAAGGCTAAAATGACCAAAGAAAAAGAGGGAAACGGCTAAACTGAGAGGTTTTTGGATAAAGTTTGTGTTTTTTCCATTGTTTAAGCACTGCTTCCAGCCAAGAGTGATACCATATATGCCCCATAGCTGCAGAAAAGGCTAACATTGTTATCTTTTTACAAAAAACCAGCTGAACATGAGAGGTTTTTGGACCAATTTTGTGTTCTCCATTCTTTAAGCACCGGTTTGAGCACCGGCACTGTTTCAAAAGTACCGATTTGGCACCGGTATCGGATAAAACCTAAACGATACACATCCCTAGTGGTGAGTAAGTATTTGAGCTCACAGAGTCCTGAATGGTTCCTGGAGCAGACAGAGTCACTGCAGGGTTTAAACTGAGTTCCTGGAACAAATAAAACAGACAAAGAAGCCTCATAAACACAGCAGACTATAATCACATCAGTGAGAAAGACTGATTACTCGTATATAGCATGAAAGTGTTATAACTCACAGCATTTTCATTCATCTGTGATTTGTGTTCTGAAAAAGAGAAAAATCAATTCAAGCTTTTAGAATGAAAGTCCATCCTGGTTTCTGCAGTCTCCCTGGTGATGAAAGCTCAGTCTTGTGAAAGCTCTCACCTTTAACTCTCTTCCATATGATGCCTATGAAAGCACTCATTATGAGTACTGTTAACCCCAGCGCTACAACAATAAACTTCCACACACCTGAAGAAAAAGAAAAACATTAAACACATTATGTCTGCAGGTTCTTGTCTTTTTAAAATCCTGATGTATAAAAATCAAATGTGTTTTAGGTTGTATAAAATTACTCGGTTAAGATCATTGTATTTGCTTAAAATGACCAACAAAGAAATATTGTTCTGGTTATAATGTTATTTCACTGACAGAAATGTTTTTTAAAAAATAAGCTTTTTTATAAACTGGAACAGAAAATGAACAGCAGCCTCATTAAGCTGACTTCCCCTTTTCCTTCTTTCCATTAATACATCTCCACAGGATGTTTTCTTTTACAGCTTATTTTTGGGAACTTGCTGAAGTGAAGTAAGTGTATCGTGTATAAGAATCCAACGCTGACTGTTGGTAGGAGCGGGCTTCTGCAGTCTGTTAAATTGTGCTTCTTTTGCAGTGCTTTTCTACTTTACCTGACTTCAAAGCGCTTTATACAACTCGCCTTATTCACCCAATCATACAAGCACTTTTTCTATGATCATATCCCCAAAAAAGTTCTTTGTTTGTTTATAACAGGATGAAGTTATTGTAAGGACTGAAATGTTTACGTATCCCTTCTCTGACCAGAAGATTGACTGAAGATAAACTCCTGCACGTTTCCACCATGTGCTACTTGGCATTTCAACATCTCAGAGTTCTTGGATGTGTAAATATGATCAGATGTTGCAAAGGTCACACTGCAGGCAGACTGTGACATCCTCAGGTCTTTGTTACCATAGAGCCACTTCACAGTGTATTTACATTCTTTATATGTGGACACAGAGCACTTCAATGTCACTGTGTCATCATCCTTATATTCAGTTACTGTTAAAAAAGAGAGAACAAGAATAACATTTACAGTAATCATCACTGTAGTTATAGTTATTGTAATGTTTCAGTTTGATGTTCTAATAATCTGAAAACATTATGATGGAAATACTCACGGTTAACAACAGACAGCTCAGCTACAGAGTCTGAACCTTCTTTTTGTCCTGATTTGTTGAACCTTCTGCAGATGTACTGACCAACATCCTCAGCTGTGAGCTTCTTTATAACCAGAGAACATTTTGCTGTAACACTCAGTCTGTCTGATTTATTTTTGACCCCTTGGTGAATCTTCCCGTTTTCAAACAGTGTTACTACGGCTCTATTTGACTGACTTAAGAGCCAGGTAGTTCTGTCACAGTTATCTTGATCATCTGTCACATTTTCACATGACAAAGTGACCTCCCCTTCATTCCTGATAATAAACTCAGAGTAGTCAGCTGCTGCTGCTGTGAAGAAAAGAATAAAATCAATAATGTCAACAAACTAAGCTTTTGTAATCTCATTTATAAACGTTTAAATATTCTTACCTGACAATTGAAGCATTAGTATCACTGATGAAAACATTTGAATCCACCTGAATTCAGCCATTCTCCGTCTTTCTCCTTCCTGTTTCTCACATTAAAAATTAATCTCTGAAATAGTCCTTCTTGTAGAGATGCTGTGTCCACTTCCTGTGATTTATGCTAATATTATGCTGATATAGAGGGCCAGGTGAAGAGGACAACTATCTGCTGTTGATGTCCAAGCTGTAACAGATAAGATGTTTTCTTTCTTGCTCTAACACGTGTTGGTTCCTCATTGCATTTCTGAAATAGTTTTTCCTCTGAGAAGAAAAAGGGAAGTCTTTTGGTAGGAATGTGAGTACATCAGCAGCAGAATTTTTAGCACTTAATGATGACCAAAAAGAGAAACACAGATCGTTTCCACACTCAGTGTCCTTTAGATATTTTAAAGCTGCAGGAGACCATCTGCATTCACTTTGGACTGTAATATATAAAAAGATCATTTGTGTGGATTCTCAGGACTGTTTGATGAAATGTAACTTAAAAGGTATATAGACAAGCTAATGGGACAAACCTTTCACTGGAACAGCTGGTACAACATGTGACTTTTATTATATTACTTTCACTGCAGATTAAACATCTTCACTGCTACACCAGTCTGTTAAAAGGTGGGCTATATGCTTTCAAATCATGGCTGGATAAACGTTCTCAAACACTCTTTAATGTTTTTGTTAATTTATATGCTTTTAAAAATATAACAATATTATTTAATCAAGACAGTTACCATAACAGAGCAGGTAAACTAACTCTAGCCTCCAAACACGCTAAACGTCACTAATGTCTCACATATGAAAACTCGCTCTCTCTCTTTCTTTCGCTCGCCCGCTGTCCGTTGCGGGTGTCACCCCTAAAAACTTCCCCTTCTCCCTAAACAACCAAATGTCACATGTTGCCTTATCATTTTTTTTTTTGATTGGCTGACATGGTAAACTGGTATATAGCTTGAACTCCGCACTTTCGACCCAAGTTGAAATGGAGACTCTGACGTGCTGCATCTTGTAGCTGTGTCCTCTTAAACTGGTCATGTGATTTTGACGCGTCCCGCGACCTCAGAGGGTTAAATTAGTTAAAATGAATTCACAGATGCAGAATTTGTTCTACAATTCATCATTTAAGTAGAATCCTTTATTTCAATGTGTGTGGCTCTTGTGGTCCTCCATACTTTACACCCATAATGGTAACAGGCAGTGGCGAGAACATAACTGCTAGCGACCATTTCAAATATCATTAAAAAGAGTAAGTTACTTTGACCATTTTTAACGTAAGTTAAATACAAAAAATTCCCACTAAAACTCAAATTAAATGATGCCACAGTAAATAGCCCACAAAATGAAGATTTCCGTTGAACAGTAGTGCCTTTTATCCGTATGTTAAAAACCGGATAATTCTTTTAGGAAAAAACAACAACAAAACAACGTTAAATAAAGCTTACATTTCAAGCACTTACAGATTAATTCCTAAAGGCAAATTTAATATCGAAACAGCTGGTATTTCAGTGCTCTAATGGAAACTTGTTCATGTCACATAACATTGACATCCACTTCTTAACCCTCTTTATAAAAAGTACACACAATCTTTAAACCGTTGTTTAATATAATCACTCACCACTGTAGACGGTAGATTTTTCACTACATACAAGCTTAACTGAGAAGCTGAAGCGCAGTCGATGATCTTTTAGGGAGCGGAGTCAGATTGATGTACTGTTAACGTGGGGATGTGTCGTGAGGAGGTGCCGTTCACACGTCTGGAGTTTTTCTTTCTTTATCCTGAGTCAAGATTGTTCTACTTTAAGAGAGATGAGTGGATAACTGAATGGGAGACAGAAAGCCCGTCATCAGTTGCCTTTAAGGCTAGCTTCACATATAGCAACAGCAAATGGATGCTCTAATTCCCCTGCACAATGTTGCTGAAGTCAATAAAAATGGCAACAAGGCAAATTAATCACTGTGGAAAAAAAGAAAGACAAATTTATACCGTTATTGGAACAAACTATGGAAAATAAAAACATTTACAGTTTTTTCTGAATGCTTAAACCCTAACTGTGATTCCTGTAGCACAATCTCTAAAACTATTCAGACTTATAGCAAAACCACTCACTGAGTTTGCAAAACTAAAAGCACAAAAACTGCTTTGCACTCAGTTTGCAATTTTGTAACACACACTTTGCAAAACTGTAGGCACAACTCACTGCACAACACTCAATTACCAAATTTCCAACACACTCCTAGCAAAAGTATACACATGTATGGCTATCATTAACACTAATTTGCCAACTGTCTGGCACACTTTCACATGTCAAAACTTTCTTAGATAATTAGTTCACTTTGCAATCAGCCTAAGCACTATAATACAGGTAAGCTGTGTGTGCGGAGTACAATGGAGGGAGCAGAAAGAGTGAGAAGAAGAGGAGGCCGAGGAAGAGGACGTGGAGGTGAAGAAGTAGGATGAAGAGGACGACAAGGACAAGGAGGAGCAAGAGGAAGATGAGGAGGGGGCAGAGGAAGATGAGGAGGGGGGAGAGGAAGGGTAAGAAGAGTAAGAAATAGAATTGCTGATGACATCAGAGCTACAATAGTGGACCATGTAATCAACCGTGGAATGACCCTGAGGGTAGCTGGCCAACGGGTCCAGCCTAACTCGAGCCGCTACACTGTAGCAAGCACCATAAGGACATCTTGAAATGAGAGTCGGTTAGTACAGTCACTTCGCACAAAGATTTGTAGCACTGCCATATGCCAATGAGAAACACACCAATACCATTGATGTAAAAATACTGAAATTGTTACTTTACAGAATTGCTAGATGACCAGATGCTGGGGGCAGAGGAAGCATGTTCACTGCAGACCAAGTAACCCATATAGTCATTATGGCGATTGCAAATAATCCTATACTTGGAAATAAACACTTGTGTTTGTTTTGATGTGTTTGAATAAACACCAGTACTTGAAGTTTGGATCCCTCTATGCTTATGGATCTATGACAGAAGTATGAGCTCAAACTGACATAGCCTACCTTGTGCACAGAGAAAGCAAAGGCCAGATGTGTTTTGTATTCATACCATCAGTGTGCAGTTGGTGCATTGTGTGCTTAGTAGATGATGGCTTGTGTGTACTGTTTGATACGGAAACACCATTTTTATGAAGGTGTGAAGAGTTAATCTAGCTGTGTTTGCTTTTGCAAGAGAACTACAATGTTTTGATTATTGGGTGACAGGTTTTCTTATTTGTGTGAAGAGTTTTGCAAAATTAGCCAATAGTTACAAAAAATGTGCTTAAGCAATCAGAAAAAACTGTAATGGCAGATTATTATTGCTTTTACTTACACTTATTATTTAATCTACTCATCTGTTTACTGAGATTATATTTTGGCCTTTATAATGGTTTGGATGTCAATACCAAACATTTAGAATCAGAAAAATAAAATGAAATCTTACAAGTTTTTTCTGCTAATTTTTATTTCCCAATGTATTAATTATTGCCAGATAAACCTTGTTCCTTTCCTCCTTCTTTTATTAGGTACACTTCCTTTTTCTTCATGCTTGCTTCTTTCTTGACACACATGCAACACAGCCGAGCCTGAACTGTTATGCTCATACGAAACAGACAGGCAGCGCTTATGGTGACAATTCTAGAGTCTATTAGGGTCCTTCAGCCAACAAAATCCCATGTGAAGTGTGTGAAATGGTAGATGACATCGCTACTGTTTTCAAAATACAAATATAAAATATGACAAAAATGTAATTCATGAATGGATAAGTTGTCCTAATGTAGTTATCTTAAGCAAACATTGCTTATTTGCTTGAGGCAATGAATTTGCATATATATATATATATATATAATAACTATGTATACATATATACCAATTTTTATTTAAAATAAACAAAATATAACAATAAATGTCATGAACTAGCTGTGTGCTGGTAAGAGAAGACCCAAATGCAGACTCACAGAGGCAAAGAGCAAACTCAAAAAAACACAGCTTTATTTGCTGGCTGGGAGAAACAATACAAAACTACACTGGAAAAATAAACTAAGCACACAGAGGTGCACACAGGTAAACACACACCGTACAACACAACACAGAACAAGGAAAACACAGGGCTTAAATACACTGAGGGATAACGAGGGAATGAGACACAAGAGCAAGGTGCAGGTGGGAGTAATCAAACATGAAAAGACCAAAGCAAAACCACAAACACTGACATGAGACAAGGGAACGTCACAGTAACAGGAAATATAACACAAAGACGCTGACTTGACACTGAACAAACTGAACACGGAGCAGAGAGACAGGAGTGACAAAAGACGCAACTCACTGGGGAGGCAGAAGGAACATGGAGACAAGGGTAACTAGACACGGGACATAGGGAAGGCAAAGTAACAGGAAACCTATACATGAACTACAATAAACAAAGAACATAACTAAAACCAACAAAAACACTGGGTCAGAGACCCAGTACCGTAACAATAAAACTCATGTGCTGGAGCCTTTATTGGCTGCTTGGGATTTTACATAATGGAAAAACACTTTTTAATATCATAAAATCATCAGGCCTAAACTGCAGATATACAAACACATATATGCACACTGATAAAGCAATAAACAATCTATGAAAAAATATAGTGCAACATTCTGGGTTAGAAATTAAAAATTAAAATACAGATTATATTATCACTGTTGTTAAATCCTGGGAACTTTAGCAAAACAGAAACCGTCTTTCATTACACAAGAATGGAAAGAAAGAAAGAAGTTATCAAAGAAAAAGAGATTCTGTGTTTTTTCCTGTTTTTTAGTCTTTTGGTTTGTTGATGCTAGCATAGAGGTTGCTGGGAGCAGGTCCAGGAGAAGAGACTGAACATATAATGTAGGTCAAAGCTTCACCTTCTTCATCTTCTTTATAGGGAACCTGAAAAAGAATACACAGCTTTTTTCTTTTTTTCCTTTTTGTTTCCTAACCTGCCCTGTCTGGGAGCTTTAACAAACCTTTTTGTTACAAACACATTTACTTACTGGGTAGCTCCCCAGCTGGGTCTAGAGAGTATTTTAAATTCAGGAAATTTAAAATAGAAAGTAGCTCGTCCACAGAAGGACTGGTAGCTCCCCTTACGATAAGGGTTCAGATCGTGCGAACAGGTGTGAAATGTGTGTGTTTAGTTAGTTTGTTTGTTTGCTTGTTTTAATCAATTTTAAATCATGCTTTTTATTTGTTTTTGTTTCTAATGTTTCTGTAAAGCACTTTGAATCACCTTGTTGTTGAATTGTGCTATACAAATAAATTTGCCTTGCCTTGCCTTACTTTACCAAGAAGAATTCTACTCTCTACAGCTCCTCTTGTGAGCCAATTTCTTTTTATTTTAATATTTTTTGTTTTTACATATGAACAGATAAGGACAAAATTACTAGCCTCTCGATGAAATGTAAAATTTTTGTCAAAATTTCCCAAGGGTTTTTCTTTAAATCAAACATAAATAATTTCCTCTTGCACACCATAACATAACTATTTCAGAAAAACACAAAAATGTCCATGTTCAATATTTTCACTTCACTGAAAAGCTTTGAGCCAGAGGCCGGCCGTCTAGGAATGTAACCACAGCAGACCCCACTACATGAACATGCTTTGCATTATCTTTATTCATTGGTTGCTGTACAAACCCTTAGCTGCAGTTTCTTTGCGCACAGCCTGACACACCAACAACCACGACAGGAGTTAGCCCACACTTTAAATTGGCGAGGTGTGTTGCCACTCAGGTGCATCCACCACCCCTGCAGCGGCACTGCAGACCACGCCCTGCCACAAGGTTCTTACTCCTTACTATATATGGATGCTTGGCCAGGGTTCCTCTGCTTAAAGAGTGAGAACGTGTTGCACCAGAGGATACCCCAGGAGATAGGTCAATAACTACGCCAGATCTTCCAGCCATGTGCCCTAAAACCAATGGGTAAGCAGTAACTACTGACAGGGATCAGTAGGAGGAGAAACCCCGCAACCTTAACAATCAAATTACCTGAAGACCTGGACACCTGTAGGTGGTCTCGGTGTAGCTGAGGGAGGCGTAGAGAACAACATCTTGAAGATCAGCCTGCACAGTGAAGACAACATAAAGACTGCTCAGTAATGTATAAAATGCAGATTCAACATATAAGTGAACAAATACATGTTTGATCTCACAGATTCCTGAATGGTTCCTGGAGCAGACGAAGTTACTGCAGAGTTTAAATTCTGTTCCTGAAACAAACAGGCAAATATGTGTGTGTGTGTATATATATATATATATATATATATATATATAATATATATATATATATATATATATATATATATATATGGCATAGATATGGATATTCATTGATCCTTATGTGAGCTTTTATCAGGTTTGCCATGAATTAGTGTTTTGATCCTGATGAGTGCCGCCTCTTCATGAGGAGAACTGTGAGCTCTAAAATTTCTGTATAATCCGACATGTTTGTGTTATTGGGAAAGGTTGTTTTATTGCAGACATTCCAGCTTAATTTTCTATTTATTATCTGTCTTGTCCTAATGTGTCGTGCTGTTTTGTTGTTCTCGTGGCACAAATGAAGGAAAAAATCTAAAATTATCTGTTTCATTCTGATTAATAAACTCACCATGTTTTCATCCATCTGTGCTTTTTTCCCTAAAAAATAGAAAATAAGGAGTCAACTTTAACTTCCACAAACAGAATCCAGGTTTATCAACCTTTCTGTTTATATGTGAATAAATCCCACCAGCTCTTATCCAGATGCTGACGACAACAACAGCTGCTATAAGTGCTACTAAACCCAGGGCCACAATGGCAAGCCTGTACCAGGACCAGTCTGGGAAGAGAGTGAAAACATGAAAAGTATATTTTAAATGTATGTTTAAGTACATGATCTGAAATATCAGAGCATGCCTTTAATATTTACTGAAGTCTGTAGAAAGAGAGAGATATTGTTGTCATTACCTGGTAATTTTCTCAAACCATTCATGATTTCCAGCTGTTTTGTTGTCAGACCTCCTTTAATGCCAGATTCAGTCATTATTTCCAATTTAATTGTTGCTGCTGCATATATTTCTTCACCAAAAACAAAAGAATAAAATTGAAAGGATCTTTCATTCTGTATGTTCTATAACAGTTAAATGATTTGTTTATGTATCTTCATCTGAACAAAGAAACAAAACTCTGGCAACTACTCATTAGGAAGCTGTAAGAGTTTGCTTTGTATATGTAATATTGTAAATTAAAACCCATAAATGAAGTCATTACTAACACCAGTCTGAATGACTTTTGATTAAACTTTGCTCATTCACTAACAACAACAAACATTTTCTCCTAAAATTCAGAAAGAAAAAGACTTTGCTGAAAAATTGATACAGAATATTGTTGACATTACCTGGTAAGTTTGTTGAACCATCCATTTCCAGCACTTTTATTGTAGTCACTGTGTCTAATTTAACTGTTGTTGCTGTATTTGTTTCTTCACCTGAACAAAAAACAAAATTCAGTGGCCCTTTCATTAGAAAACTTTCTGTATATTCAGTCGATTAAATCTTCAGATTAATAAAACAAGATAATATCGTAGGTATTTAGACAAAATAATGTGAATTCATTTAATAAGCTCTTCAGAACCTCTCCTGGTTTCTTACCTGATGAATGATGGCTGAAGGTAAAAAGCTGCTCTTTGTTATTTTCTGTTCTTTTTAAGCTACACTTAAAGTCAGAACTTGATATGTGACCATATGTAAGGTTCAGAAATGTCACAGTAGCAGAGCAGGAAGACTGTGATGTTTTTAAATTTGAGTAATCTCTATCCAGATCTCTTCTGTTATGGATCCACTTCACTTTGTGTCTACACCGATCAAATGTCCACACAGAGCAGCTTAAAGTCACCTCATCAGCGTTCTTCTTTTCGGTCACTGGTGAAGATGAATTGCAAGAGAAAAACGAAGCAAGAACACATATTTATTTTCATATATAATGAAAATATGCTGTTCCAATGACACCACTTGAACTAAAATATATTGTGGTGTAAATACTTACTGACGACAACAGACAGATAAACCACAGCATCTGGACCTTGCTGTCTCCCTGGATTACCTCTAAACTGTCTGCAGGTGTAACGACCAACATCCTCAGCTGTGACCTTCTTTATAACCAGTGAGCATTCTGCTGTAACACTCAGTCTGTCTGATTTGGCTTCTTCTTTGATTTGTCCAAGATTAACCAGCTCTACTGCTGGTGTGCCTCTTGAATCTCTGAAGATCCAGGTGATAGTGTCACAGTTGTGATGAATGTTGAACCGATTTTTACAAGGCAAAGTGACTTTATCTCCATCTCTGACAGTGAAGGCAAGCGAAAGATCTTCACTAAGTGCTCCTGAGAACATGAAAGAGAAACAAAAATATTACCATTACTTGTGCAAATGCAGATAATTTACATTCTTGTGCACAGAAAAAAATGTGTGCACCAAACTCAGTTTTGCTGTAACAAAAGCACAGCTGTCTACATAAAGATTTCAGAATAAAGTAAATTTGAAAAGAAGTTGGAAAAAAATTGTTACATGTTAAATGTATCTTTACCTTTAAACAGAAGCACCCCCCCCCCCCCCCCCCCCCCAAACATTTTAATACTTGTAGCTACATGTAGATCTTCCTTTCCTACAGTTGCATTATGGATAATGCACTGTGAGCCTGGTTTGAAGTAGAAATGCTGAGTAGGGAAAACAGTGTCCCATGGGTCACAGTGGCCAAAAATATATTATATCAAATGGTAAATGGGCTAGTTCTTATATAGCGTTTTTCTACTCTGAGTTCTCAAAGCACTTTATATGCTTTTTGTGGTTTAATACATGAAATAGAAATTTTTTAGGGTGGTTTACCTAAACAGTTCTCATATTTCGCATAAATCGCATCATTTTGTGCAATTGCTGTTGATTTAAAAAGTAAAGAAATATAAATAATGAGACTGGACTAAAATAAAGTATTTACTCTAATATGCAGTGTCTTTGTTTATTTTCAGATCTGAAAATGTATTTTTAAAATTTGTTGTTGATATTAAGTAAAAATTATGTTTTAGAGTATTTGTAAAGGATACCTTACCTGAATAAAGAAGCAACAAAAATAGAGAAATGTTGAATAATTTGTGATCAATCATCGCCTTTTGTTCATCTTGTCATAACTGCAACTTGCGAACTCTGTTGTACTTGTCAAAGACAAATGTCTATCTTCTTTACTTCCTGTCTCCTCTTCATTCACGCTGTGGTTATTTTTAATGTTGGTAGGTCATATGTATTCCCTTAGTTTTTACAAACGTGTAGATATGAAAGAAAAAATGAACATACATCCTTCTTTAACCAAACTGAGACAGCAGTCTTACTTACTTTAATGGAGGTAAATTAGAGTAAATCTACAGGATATAAAAATATGTGCTGTAGAGGTTTATCTCCACTGAAGCCACAGCACACTTCCTGTCCACTGCCATATATAGAAATATGTACTTGTACCAGCAATGACATTACATTGTGCAGTGTGACATTCTGTCTTGTGCAAACTCATATTGCATATTGCTTCAGTGTTTATTAAACAACAGAATCCATGCTGATGACAGTGATCAAGACTGTGTTCTCAATGATTTACCTTGTTTGCTGGTGCTGATGTAAAGACCAGTGGTAACCGTAGCATCAAATGTGTAAACCTGAGATTGTGTTGTAACAATGTTACATTGTACATGAAAGCTATATTGGATCTGAGTGCCTAATTCAGTAGTGTTCAGCATGGTGATGGCTTGCTTGGGGATAAAATCTGTTGCTTAGTCTGTTAGTTTCAGGTAGACATTCAAACGGTACATGACCAGGGTGAGCTGGGTCTTGAAGGATTCAATTAATGTTCTTGAGACAATGGGAGCTGTGCAATTTTTCAAGTGAGGGGAGAGGACAGCTGACTATCTGCTAGGCCAGCGGTCCCCAACCTTTTTTGTGCCACGGACCGGTTTATGTCCGACAATATTTTCACGGACTGGCCTTTAAGGTGTCGAGGATAAATACAACAAAATAAAACCAGTACCGGTACCAAAAAAAGGAAGATTTATTCATAACACACAGGGAAAGACCCAGGGTAACCCAGTTAACGATAAAAATGATGAAAAAAAAAGAAGATAAAACTGATAAAAACCATGAAAACCATAAACTTCACACCTGAGTCTCAACTCTCGCGGCTAGGTACCAAATGACTCACGGACCGGCCCCGGCAGCGATAAGAGGACACCAACAGTTTCTCAGGGATGTTATTCTGTCTGAGAACCCTCAGAAAGTAGTTTGTTTGTTTGTTTGTTTGTTTGTTTGTTTGTTTGTTTGTTTCTTTCTTTCTTTCTTTCTTTCTTTCTTTCTTTCTTTCTTTCTTTCTTTCTTTCTTTCTTTCTTTCTTTCTTTCTTTCTTCACAACCTCAGGAGTGTGTGTTTGGCAAGTCTGGTCCTTCCTGCTGTTGACTCCCAAGAAGCAGAAGTCTGAGACTCTTGCCATACAGACCCTGTTGATGGTGACTGGCAGGATGTCATCTGCCTTCTTCCTGAAGTCCACAACAAGTTCCTTGGTCTTTACGGTGTTCAGGAGCAAGTTGTTGTCCACGCTGTCAGCCACTGGGCCATAGGCAGATGCATCCCCCCCAGAAATTAGTCTTCAGGCTATGATCATTCTTACGGTCAGTAAGACTAAAATAGTGCTTCTACTAAGAAAAATCCAACATTTCACTTCCTTAGTCACTTCCTCATTTTATGTTCCACTTCTATTTTTATTTAAAAGGGAGTTGTTCCATCTTTGCTGGATTGCTCTGCTCGTTTCTCTGCTGGAGAAACTCTTGATGGAGAGCAGTGGGCTGGTTTGTGTTCTTAGAAGAGAATCTGTGTGGACTTGTGGAAAACACTAACTTGTAGAAACCAAGAACTTCTCTAGTGTTGATCTTCTATTTGAACTCTAATTTAATGTAAATAAATGGCCTGAACTTCTATGATCGAGTCCTGCATTTGAGTGTTGCCTTTTTAGTGATCCCTGAAAGTTTTCTTTCTGAAAGCATCCTGATGAGACTATTCAACACTGTTTATTTCTTTATTTGCATATTACATTATGTGTGTACACTAATATTCAAAGCCCAATAAGCTCATCAACAAATACGAGATGCAAAGGAACAGATGTAAAGCATAAAACAGATACATTTATTACTGATATAGTTGATATAAAGACAAACTAGCATGAGTTATAGCCAGTGTTACCAGTCCCATTCTGAAGAAATCACAGTGTCAATGAAAGCTCCACAGAGGCAAAAAATAAATTGCTGAAGAGGAGCTGGTCAGGTGCTCCAAAAAAGCACTACCATCCCTTTCAGACCTCAACATTGGAGTCAACTAAAATTGTCCATAACAAGAACACATAGGTTTTAACAACTGAACAAAAAATAATTTGCACAGAGGTGTTCTAACTAAGAGATAAAATGAATGTTAACATGGTTGTCCAACTACAAAACAAGAGTTGATGTTGACATTGATGTTTTTGGTCAGTGGGTCTGACAGAAGCAGCACGGTCAGTCAAACTCCATCAGAAGAGCAGACATTTTCACAGTTTACTGCTCCATCGTTTTCATTATTACACACCTTTAAAAAACAAAATGGCATTCTCACACATCAATACCATCTGACAAGTCTAAATTTTGTGATCTTTGGGCATCCATTACTCTGCTTTTAGTGATTATTACCCAACAAAATAAGATTATAAAGGTATATTTGTCATTATTCAGCCACTATATGGTGCATGGTGATGTGTCATTAGCTGCAAAGATGTAATTAAAAAGGAGGGGTTGTCATCGCCCAGTACAGGCGGCAAAGACACATGAATGGCCCAACCCACTGCTGTCTGTGCAGCCCACGCCCCCCTCCTGACACACACACTCTACACTCTGCTGCCTTCTGTCAAGAGGTACCAGAGCATTCAGGTCCTCACTGCCAGACTGCGAAACAGTTTCTTCCCTCAAACCGTCAGACTCCTGAACACAGTGACTGGAGACACACACACACACACACACACACACACACACACACACACACACACACACACACACACCTTCATGGAAATATAAGACTGGGAGCTGGAAGACTACCCCAAGAGTGAGAGAGACAGCTAACAATTGGCTGAGCAAGCACCCCATTCCCCACACCCGCCACAGGGTGCAACCAACTGCTAACCTGAGTTTACAGTGACAACGCCTCAGAGCACCACAGTGCCTGAAGAGCACCTGTTGCCCCCCACCTGTTGCTCCCACTGCAAATACCAGTTGAGAGCATTTAGATGAGTCCCAAGTCATGGGACTGCATCCCAACCACAGTTATTTTCACACTTGACAACAGACACACACAAAAAGGTCAAACTAGCAAACTAGCCTGAGTCTGAGACAAGCTTCAGCCAGCAATTGATGCCCCCTTCCCCCCATCTCCAAAAAAGGGCCTGCGTGCATTGAAGAGCCCCAGAGAGACAACTGGGACATACTGATGCAGGCCAACCCACCCAACAGAGTGAAGCAGCCACGGGGGGCTTAGACCACTCCCAACCAGGAAGAGACCCAGCCAAAAACTGGGCTCCAGGCCCTGCAAGTGGAAGAAGAGCCCAGCCACCCAACCAGGAGCACCTGCAGCCATGAGCACAAAATGCAGCACATCCCAAGACTGCAAGGGAGTACCCACCCCAGCCCTTCACCACCACCACCTGAGGACGTCTATGACAGGAAATGTACATGATTAATAGATGTAATCTTTTATTTACAAATATCAACATTGTTGTTATCAACATGACACATATGAATACAGATTATTTATAAACAAACATGATTTATTATGTGTTAGCGTATTTATTTATTCAGTGCATGTGGGTTGTTTATGTTGTTTGACATTTTCCTGTTTTTTTAAACTAGTTCATTTATTTCAATTAATCAACTTATTTGTTTGTAACCAGGTTAAAATGGTCATTTATTGAAATGTGTTAAAATATTACACATTTTTTAAATCCTTCTTAAAATTTAAAATAATAATGGTTTAAGCCTTTAGAGAAAAAAATGGAATGACTTTTAAAAGGGGTACAATGTGTTTAATAAGTTTAAAAGAGCATTTGAATTATATATGATTAATTTTTACAAGTATCCTGTTTATTATGAAGCGCTCACGATTGTAAAAGCCACTGAATGTGGTTGTGATCAGAGCTGGACTGTGAGAATTTGTAATGGAAAGTACAAGAAGTTTGTAGAAGTGTGTATGTATGAACTGGAGTATCTGCTCGAAATCCACCGAGCAGCTGCTCACTTTAGTCTTAGTTCCAGATCCCTCGCCATCGTGGAGATGCTCGCTGACCTCTCGGCATTCCTTCATACATAACTGGTATGATCTGGTCCAATTTCAAATACTGTTCCAGATCATTTTCTAATAACTTCATTTCATTGTCTCAGCCACAGATGATGACTGGAGACAGACAAAGCTATAAATAAAGCTACAGTAAAATCAGCTGGTGGCCTATTGAAACCATGTCCTCCACCCTCTGGAAACATGGGACCACAGAGCTCATAGAAGCAGCATAAAAATGACGTCTACAGTGAGTCTGAGTTTGACAATGAAACAACGTCCACAACCAAATTTGGACTATAAACAGCCCGTACACGGAGACCCTACAGATGTCAACACTTGACGTTTAGTAGACATCAGAAAAAAAACGTCGCCTGACGTTCCAAAACAACCCTTCAGTGGACTGACGTGTACAAGACGTCACTCTGACGTCACCTTGCGCAGTGGGGTGCGTCGCGTTTTGTTAATTCGTGATTTGTTGTTCAAATTCTTTTGCTTTGCATCCCGCTGGTTTTCTTTCAGTGTGTCAGCTGCTGGGACAAGCTTAACAACTTTATCACAAATATTTAATAATAATTTCAGTGATTTAAAGGCAGATGACAGCATCAATGATCCACTTTCCCAAGACAAACCCTCACATGTGGGGTTCAAACCAACAACCTTTCACTTATAAACTTCTGACTCTCAGTCCTCTGCTGAACCACATTTAGCTCAACAAATTCAAAATCATCTGTGAAATGTTGTTTACAGCATCAGAAACAAACATTTAGAAGTTTTTGTTCTGTTGGATTATTGAGTTTTGTACTCACTGTGTTTTCATCCATCTGTGTTTTCTTCCCTAAAATGAGAAAAAAGTCAATTTAATATTAAAGTGAAAATTCAAAATCATTCAAACTTCTCATGATTAAATTTACCTTTAGTTTTTCTCCACATGTTGACTGTCACAGCTGTTATTAAAAGTGCTGCCAATCCCACAGAGACAATTATGAACC